CTGATTAAAACCCTTCCTCTACTGTTTGGGCCGCTTGTGACCCGAATCTCTCTGCAAACCTCACTGGAAAGCCTGGACTGCAAGGCACTGCTGATTCTACGGTCTCAAGACTCTTGGGAACACAACATAAATACATAACCAATGGGCAAGTTACATCGTGAGACCCCCCCAAGTCCACAAGGAGCCGGGAGGGGCAGGGGTGCGCAGGTTGGCAGTGACCCATCAGACCCCGGAGTCTGGGACTGAGCTCGGGGGCTCTGTCTCATTTGAAGTTGGGGACAGACAGACAATACGAGAGGAAGAAAGCAGCCCCGTAAGGAACCTCTGCTCCTGACCCCAGTCGCAATGACAGGGGTGGCTCTGAGCACCGCGGGGTCACCGGCCCAGCGTCCTGGGCCCGTCGCCGGAGTTATCCGCACCCGGCCGGGCCCAGGAGAGGGGTTCTGGGTGGGTTCCTCCTGAGCTTAAATTTTCAACCCAGACTCCAGGGCCATTTTCCTGACTCCAGGGGACCACAAGGAGGCAGGAAATCCCCGGGGAAGGAGAGAGAGGGATGATCCTTTAGCCCTGGCCCGTCTGGCTCAGTGGTTAGAGCGTCGGCCCGCGGACTGAAGAGTCCCGGGTTCGATTCCGGCCAAGGGCGCATACCTCGGTTGCAGGCTCGATCCCCAGCCCTGGTCGGGGCGCACGTGCGGGAGGCAACCAGTCGATGTGTCTCTCTCACATCGATGTCTGTCTGTCTCTCTCTCTCCCGCCTTCCACTCTCTCTGAAAGGCAATGGGGGGAAAACAAATCCTTGGATCAGGATTTAAAAAACAAAAACAAAAAAACTTTCAAGTCTGGCAGCTTGTGCGGCCTCCCAAGGCGTCGCCCTCTCCTAACCAAGCCCCTCTTGACGGTTCCTCTTCTGACACAGCTGCCGAGCCGGGAAGATGAAGACCGAGGCCGTAGACTGAAGGGCAAGAGCCAGGCCAGGGGCACAAAGGACACACGGACGCAGGAACAGCGGCTCAGACGTGACCACCGCTCGCTGCCTTTTCTAGGGCCTGCTTCATGCCCGGTTCCGACGGCCCGCTTTGCGGTGGGCGGGGAGCTAGGAGAGCGGCTCGCACCCGGGCAGGAGAAACAAGCGCACTTCAGCCCACAGCCCACAGCCCACAGCCGAGGAGCGAGCCCCGGACAGAGCCGGGCCCGGTACCTTTGACGGAGTAGGTGGCCGGCTCGGACTTCCAGCCCTCGGGGTTCAGGCCCAGCAGCGTGGCGAAGCAGTCGGACATCTCCTCCTCGGTCATGTGCTCGCCTGGGCATCGGGGAGAAAAGAGGCGGCCGGTCAGCTCTCGGGGCCGAGCCTGAGCCCGATCCTGACGTGGCAGCTTCGCACCATCCTTGTGAGGTCTGAACGGGAAATATTCCACGATTTCCTCTTCTTGAGACGCAGGAACAGTCTAGAGCCCCAGCCGGGTGGCTCAGCTGGTTGGGCATCGTGCCCGGGCACGGGAAGGCTGCCGGTTCGATTCCCGGTCAGGGCACATGCGGGGTTGGGGGCTCGATCCCCGGTCGGGGGCGCGCAGGAGGCGGCCGATCAATGCCTCTCCTCATGGATGTTTCCATCTCTCTCCCTCTCCCTTCCCTCTCTGAAATCAATAAAAAACATTTTTTAAAACTCTGAAAAAAGAAAAAACTAGAGAGAGAGAGAATCCCATGCTACTGTGCCATATACTCCCTTATATGGTGTAAAAATGGGACTCCCGCGGGGGACAGACTCTGCGGCTTGTCTGGCGACAGGCAGCTTTCTGATGCACACGGCCCTCGGCTTGACTTCAGGCTCCCTCACGTGCGATCCCCCCGTTAGACTGAGAAAACGGGCTCCACAGAGAGCGCGGGGAATAGCGAGGAAAACAGCAGGGGAAACGGGGAAAGGGCGCTTCCCCGGGGTCCCGCTCACAGCCGCCCGGCGAGGCCCGCGGCTGGCGCCTTCACTCCCGCGCCGCGGGGAGGAACACGGACTCCCGAGGCCTCGGGACGAGGGCACGCGGCCGGCATCCTGCCTGTCACCCCACGTCACTAACGCGCATACCTCGGGCCGAAGTCCGGGGGCTCAGGGGCTGAGGTTCAGCCTATGCACCGGGGGTCACGGCGCCCGGTCAGGCCCGGGCCTGGTGGCGGGCTCGATCCCCGGGGGGGCGGCCAGGGGCAGCCGACCCATGACTCTCTCATCATTGATGTTTCTCTCTCTCCCTCTCCTTTCCTCCCTCTGAAATCAATGAAAACATTTTAAAAATGAATAAATAAAGACGCCGGGGGCCAGGGAGCGTCTGTCCCCCCAGCTCGCCTCTCTCCTGGGGGACGGCCCGAGGCGCTTAGCGGGCACCCTGCCACCCTGCCTCCGGGCTCACCTTTGGTCAGCAGCAGCCTCAGCAGGTCCTCCCTCCGAATCGCTTTCTTTCCCTCCGCGTTGGTGTAGCCCAGGATGTCGAAGCTCATCTGGATGGTGTCCATGGTGTTCCCGAAAGGCGGCCGGTGGTTAAGGTAAACTTTGAGGAAATCCGGTAAGTTGATTCTGTCCAATACCTTCCCAGTGTCCACATACTCGCTGAATTTGATTTCGTTAAACATGTCTTCAATCTAGGGAAGAAGTAAAAAAAAAAAAAAAAAAAAGTAAAAGACCGTGGTAAGCAGGGGGCCACGTGGGATGTGATTCTAAAAATCGGAGAGTAGCAGACAAATGTGCTATGCTATTTTATTTTACTGTTTTCGTTTTCACTTTTTATTCAATCTATTGGGGTGACACTCGGGGAAACAACAGACAAATGTTCACGGTTAGTTTAAACACGTCTGTTATGGGGCTGATTCTTTGCAAAATTGGTATGTACATAAATATATACATATAAATCCTTTTGTATTTCTTCTTTCCCACCCACTATTTTCAAAGCAGCCACCATTCTCAATGCAACATTCCCGGAAAGGCCTTTTGAAATAACATCATTGGTTAGGATCCCAATAAGCTTTATAATTGATAGTGTAAAAGTAGCTTTCGACGGTAACACTGTTTCATACGTAGCATTTAGTGAGTTTACATTATATACAATTGCATGCTATGTTACATATAATTTTATCTATAAATAAAATGCTACCGGGGAGCACATTCTTTAAATCGTACACTATGTAATTTTAAGTGTTGGCGGATACACACGTTGTGATCCAGCCGGCCGAGGCCGGGGCTAAAAGCACCTGTCTTAGGAGAGACCTCGGCGCAAACCCTGGGTCTGCCACGTCCTATATGACCGGGGTGAATAAAACATTCCTTATCCTTGGTTTCCTCGCCTTGAAAAGGGTGTCATATGGTAAAACACATGCAGGGGGCTGGTTCGTTTTTTGTTAATTCTCACCTGAGGATATTTTTCCCATTGATTTTCAGAGAGAATGGAAGGGGGGGAGAAACATCCATGTGTGAGACGCACACTGATGGGCTGCCTCCCGCATGCACCCCGACCGGGGCCGGGGATCAAGCCTGAACCCCGGGCACGTGCCCTGACTNGCACACTGATGGGCTGCCTCTCGCATGCACCCCGACCGGGGCCGGGGATCGAGCCTGAACCCCGGGCACGTGCCCTGACTGGGAATCGAACCGTGACCTCCAGGGTCATGGGTCAGCACTCAACCGCCGGGCCACGCGGGCCGCCCTCGGGGATGCCTCCAGGGGGAGTCTCTCTAGGGGCGCATCTGCTCGCCCGGAGCCGTCTCCCGGGTCCAGGTCTGCGAGAAATCTGTCCCGTTTTCACGCTGACCCTTTCACGAGGTCGCTTTCCTAATGGAACACATCCTGGGCCGTCCTCGCTGCGGCCGCCCCGCCTACCTTCTCCTCCGACGGGTAGAAGCCGATGGCCCTCATGACGAAGGGCATCTCCGACAGGCAGATGTGTTCCGACGCCTTCCTGGTCTCCATGGTGTCGATGCCTTGGCTGCGGAGCTGAGAGTAGTAAAAATAGTCTTCCAGCTCCTGCGTGGAAACACAAACAGCCGCTGGGGCCTGCGTCTGGAGCACCCATTAAGACCTCAAGGACAATTTCTAGAAAGTACATTTTGAGCTCAGCAGGGAACAGGGGGGGAAAAAAAAGAGCTTTGGGGGGAAAAAAGCAAGAGGGGCTAAGCCCGGACGTGTGTGTTTTGCAGACTTAACTAGACGCTACCAGGCAGTGTTTACTCTGAGGACAATTACCCTGTAGAATTTTCCTTCCCTGCCACCAGACACCAGGCCATAGAACGGGGTCAGGTCTTCGCCCCCAAGAGAAACAGCTGCCTCCAGGGCACTGGAACGGGAACAGAAATGGGGCTGTTAGAAAGCTCTCGGGCGCCGACAGCCCTGACAATTAGGGTCTCTGTAAACTTGTTAAGAAAACGCCCTCCACCGTGAAACCGAAAATGAAAAAAATTCCCTTCCAAGCGTGGCACCCAGTGGTACAGGTCACCCGCCGCCTTAACGATGGTGACGCCCGCCCGCGCACTGGTGGCAGAGCTGGCGCTTGGCGGCCTGTCCGCGGCCTTTGGGGAACACGTGTCCCCAGGGGGCGGGCTCCTGTGTGTGGGGGCCGCAGCCCTCCCGGGCACGGCCGCTCTGCCCGTAACTCTAGATCTGCGTGTGGTCGGGGCCAAAGGCCCGGCGGGGGGGCGGGG